TTTCATGGACGTAAACCAAAATCTTCCTTTCAATGATACAATTTTTAAATCTTCAAAATAGCAGAAAGATAATCGATACAGAACCAACACAAGTAAAAGGTAAATTTGAGACCCCTCTGTTACCTGCTGTCGTCGGAGATTGCTGTGACGTACAACGGCCAAGCAAGTCCTAAATAAGACCAACAAACGTCATGGCAATCTCGTCGTACCTTCAGTCCTCTACGCTAACTCTTTAACATTTTATAATTTCTAGAATTGTATGTTTTTTTTAACAACAAATATTTTATTTTCCTAGACTCCATTTCTCAAAACTTAAATACTACCGGTGAACATTTCTACGTATTATATACTAGTAGTAATTATATAGGGTGTAGTTAAAGGTCCAATCGGAAATGTTCTAATTTTAAATTTGTCTCGCCCTGAATATGTAAGAATTACTGAAGGAATGTCTTTCGGCATTTATTTGACCATATTTGCTTCTTCATGAGGAATCGGTTTACCTCCCCTACCTGTATCCATTCTAACTTTGGCACTAACAATGATAGTGTTGAGATTCTTGATCAAACAAAGCATCAAATTTCCAGATTAAATCAATTTTGATATTTCTTGATACGACCAAACTTAGTATTTCCAAACACAAACATGAAGCAAAGTAAAGTTCCTGCAACCAATATGTACCACATCAAATCAATCAATTTCGTACCATTAATTCTAAAAGTGAGGCCAAAAAATCAATTCCATGCGCTTGTCATGATACATGTAACTTCATCGGTTTCCTTGAAGTGTTATTTAAAATTGTTGAATTTAACTATTTCAAGCAAAAAAGTGTGAAAATACCATATTTAAATGGTATCTAAAACCATCAATCAAAGACAAACAAGAAGACAAGCAGAAGACAGAAATCATAAGACGAAATCATAAGACGAAATCATAAGACGAAGACAACCAGAAGACAAGCAGAAGACAAAAATAATAAATCGTAGACAAACAGAAGACAAAAAACATAAGTCGAACACAATCAGAAGACAAACAAGAAGACAAAAACCAACATTCGAAGACAACCAGAAGACAGGCAGAAAACAAACAAGAAGACAAAAATTATCAGTCGAAACTAAGTAGAAGACAAGTAGACATTCACGGCCAAGAGAAAAATAACGCGATGGCCATAACAACGAGTCCGCACAACCCTATACAGAAATCTAATCACGAAACTTATAAAAAACACACACAGTTGAACTGGACATTTGTGATCGTTAAGAATTGTAGCAGGTAATTATACATTATGTATAAGTGTCTGGCAGGGGTTTACAGAATAGACAATAATGGGTCAGTACTACAAAAAAAAGGATCAAATAAATAAAGAATAGAAAAAATAGGCCAAAAACATAAAGAATAAAGAATAGAAAAAATAGGCCAAAAACATAAAGAATAAAGAATAGAAAAAATAGGCAAAAAACATAAAGAATAAAGAATAGAAAAAATAGGCAAAAACATAAAGAATAAAGAATAGAAAAAATAGGCCAAAAACATAAAGAATAAAGAATAGAAAAAATAGGCCAAAAACATAAAGAATAAGGAATAACAGGGTGTTAAAATTAAAGAATAGAGAAAATGGCTAAAATAATGAATGATACAGAGTTTAAGGATATCCTATCCAGATTCTAGTATTAGAGGTTTTATAAATTGTATAAGACTGAAACTTCTAAACAAATAAAACTCTGAAATTTCATGAATACAAAAATTTTAGCGATTTATATCGGAAACGATTACATGTAATGCAATTACCAGATACTAGGATACGAAATCCACGAATCTGAAATTGTTTAGTTTTTTTGTTGTGTCGTATCTTTCCAAAATAAAATAATAAAATATCTATACTGAACCATATTAACTGTGTTTGACTTACTTTAAGTTTTTGACCGTCTGCGTTGCCGTAGCAACCACTTTTTTCTTTTGAAAAAATCCATTTTGAATTAAATGTCTGAATTATGAATATAAACTTCTTATCAATCTTAAATCATCCCATTGCGTTTCGACTTCCAATAACTAATTAAACCAGTTGATCAAATCGAACTCCTATTAACAAAAAGCCAGTTGCTATACGAACGCTTTGACATTCGACCTTTTGTACATCTCGGTATTGTTCCGTTCATTGTTTTATCGTGAAGCAGGTCATCCATTGCGTTGAAGGAAGAGGTTTACAATTATCTTTTAAATAAACAGTCTACATTTAAATGGCAATTCAACTGAATTAAAATTTCCTTAGATAAAGATCTATTATTATATTGTATATTACTATAAACAAAGTCCTTTGTAAATTAGGCCTTATTATTTTAGCCCACGATAGTCATTTTGTAATTTGTATACAAAAAAGTTATACTTAAGGGGGTCCTTTGGGAGAATATGAATTAAAAAAATATCATTTATACATAAGTATCTCCTATATCAGAATTTCAGTGTTCAGGAACATGTTATTAAAATGCATAAACAGTTTTCCAGAATGCTTTAAACATCCACCGATTCTATAAATATTTAAATACATCAATCCGCTAGAGAACAAAACTTTGAAAATCTAAAAACATATTTAACATCGTACTTACTTAAAAATTCATAGAAATCGTTTATTGTCAAAGATATTTTGCCGATCAATACACAATTTCAGAAAACAATTGGAAATTTGATATTTTTAATTTTTACTAATTATTTATTTGAAGCCCAAATCACTATTCTTTAATGATTAATTTTCTGTTTGCATGTAGCATTTCATTAAAATAACTTAGAAAATATGATGCCTGTTCATAATTACGATAAATGATTAAATGAAAAAACTCAATTATTTTTGGAAACGAAAATGTTCAATTCACAAGCCAGTTACAATTTGTTTACAAATAGTACGGTGACATATTTTGTTGTACGGAGTGTACGGGTATCTTTCTTGACAAAGCCAAATGTCAGTTGTTCTTTGTATCTAGTGATGGAGGAAATAGGGTATGAATGGTACGTGTCGCAGTGTTGTTTAAAGGAATAACCCAAAGGCTCAATTTTGAGTCCTAAAAATGTTCAAATCTACATTTCTAAAATTCTTAAGTTGAATGCAATACGAAGGATTAATAATATATTAAAGTCTATAGCCACAGGGTCGGGTATCCGATATACAGAATATACCTTATAGATATATTACAAGTTACGAAGAGTGTATAAATAGATAAACACAGACTGGTGTAATTATGTCTTCCTTAACGATATGTTGAAATAGATATAACTGCACAGGTATACCATTTTGGTCACTAAGATACAATACATCTCGACTATTATTCAATCATAGAATAAGCATACTAACAAAAGGTATCAACGGTTAACAAAAGGTGTCACCGACTGACGGAAGACGTCAGCGACTAACGAAAGAAGTCAGCGACTAACGAAAGATACAAACGACTAACTAAAGGTATCATCGACCGACCAAATATATTCCCTATCAACGAAAGGCATCAGCGACTAACGAAATGCATCACCGACTTACGAAAGGTGTCACCGACTTAAGGTATCATCGAATTAAGAAAGGTATCATCGACTTAAGAATGTATCACCGACTAATGAAAGGTATCATCGACTGACGAAATGTATAACTGACTAAAGAATCACCGACTAACGACAGGTATCCCTGATTAACGAACGGCATCACCGACTAACAAAGGGTATCGCCGACTAACACAAGGTATCGCCGACTAACACAAGGTATAATTACCGACTAACGAAAGATACAAACGACTAACGAAAGGTATAACCGACTAATGAAAGACGTCAGCGACTAATTAAAGATACAAACGACTAACTAAAGGTATCATCGACCGACGAAAGATATCACCTATCAACGAAAGGCATCAGCGACTAACGAAATGCCTCATCGACTTACGAAAAGTGTCACTGACTAAAGAAAGGTATTACCGACTAACAAAAGGTATCACAGGCTAACGAAAGACATCACCGACTAACTAAAGGTATCGTTGACTAACGAAAGGTATCACCTATCAACGAAAGGCATCAGCGACTAACGAAATGCCTCATCGACTTACGAAAGGTATTACCGACTAACAAAAGGTATCACAGACTAACGAAAGGTATCACCGACTAACGAAAGACATCACCGACTAACTAAAGGTATTGTTGACTAACGAAAGGTATCACCTATCAACGAAAGGCATCAGCGACTAACGAAATGCCTCATCGACTTACGAAAGGTATTACCGACTAACGAAAGGTATCACAGACTAACGAAAGACATCACCGACTAACGAAAGGTATCGTTGACTAACGAAAGGTATCACCAACTAACGAATGGTAAAAACTGACATATGAAAGGCATCACAAACTAACGAAAGGTGTCATAGACTAGCGAAATGTGTCACTGACTAAGGTATCATCGACTAACGAAAGGTATCATAGACTAACGAAATGTGTCACTGACTAAGGTATCATGTGCACCGACTTACGAATGGTCTCATCAACTACCGAAATGTGTCACTGACTAAGGTATCACCGACTTACGAATGGCATCATCGACTAACGAAATGTTTCACAGACTTACTAAAGGCATCACCGACTAATTGAAGGGCATAACCGACTAACGAAATGCACCACCGACTAACGAAATGCATCACCAACTAACGAAATGTATCACCGACTTACGAAAGTTATCACCTACTAATGAAACCCATCACAAACTTACGAAAAGTATCACCGACTAACGAAAGGCATCGCCAACTAACGAAATGAACCACAGACTTCCAAAGGCCATTTATAAGGGCCTCACCGACTAACGAAATGTATGCATGTTTATGAGTTTAGTTTGCAGAGTGATCTAAGGAGCTGGATACAGTACATGCAATTGAAAAATATAGTGCTATCATTTTTGTGGTTGAATTTTGGCCGAAAAACGTTTATATACATACGTAACTTGATTAGTGTTCTTATTTTTATTTAAAAGTATTTTTTTATCTTACCTGCAGAGTCTCGTCGTTAAGTAATTCCCAGCGAATGACAACCTCCGCATTCCATCTTAAACACGATTTTTCAAGAGAATTGATTTTTTTTTCTTTTTCGAACTGAGTTATATTTGACGCTGTTTGTTTTGATTATAATTTTTGTTTTCCATTAAAAAGATATGCAATATTATGCAGATACATCTGCAACATAATAAAGACTTATGTTATACTAGGTCACATGTTACGCTTTCAATTTCTTTCTCGTTCAGTGCGATTAACTCGTTACATACTATATTATCTTGTCTCTACTTAGTATTTTAATCTACATGTACCGTCCTTAAAAACAAAGTAAAGTAGATTTAAATCTCACGAGACTTTCTAGTACAATTGGTACAATGATAGTTATATCATATAAAAGTCACACTTCATTAAAAGTTCAAAAATTAAGAAATAGTATACTGTTGAAAAGACACTTGGTCTTTAACTTTTCTACCCGCATATGTACATTTAGATATGTAACATTATAAATAGAATTTACTTGTTAAATTTAAATGGGGCAAAAAAACGTTTCTCGTTCAAATTCGCATATGATTGTTTCGGACTGTGACCCTATGCTATGAAATGAACTATGACCTATTAATCAAAATGAAGTTAAGGAGAATAAAAATCTATGTAATTTTAATTTAAAAGCTTCAAAATATAAAATATGCATATACCTAACATAAAATAATACTGCATGATAATTTTACTTTTCAGAATATGTTTATTTGTGCTTAGTTATTTCGAAGAACATTTAATTTGTTTTCGTAAAAATGTTTGAGATCAAATGTGTTTCGGACGAAACTTATTAAATGTGTAAAATATTGGTTTGATGTCGACAAGTATTATCTATATTTTGACTTTTCATATGTAATAACTGTAGAAAGATGAGTATGAAATACTTATTTTCAGATTTAATATGGAAAGTGGATCTCATTAAAGTAATTTACGAGGGTCTGAAGGGGGAGGGGGTCATTTACTTCTGTATTCTTTGATTTTGTAGGCCGTCTGTTCTGTTCTTTAAAAGTTTTTGCCCACTGTTCTCTATTCTTTATATTTAAGCACCTCATTATCCTCTAATCTTTATTTTTCTGGTCTACTTGTCTCTATTCTTTATTTTTTTAGGCCCATTTTTCTGTAGAATTGGCCCATTATTATCCATTCTGTTAACCCCATCCAGACCCTCATCATTGGACTAGCCGAACATTTAAACATTTATATACTTTTTAAAAATGTTAATTGATCGATTGGTGATTAACACCACTTTCAGCACTATTATCTATATCGTGGCGATCAGTTCTTATTGGTGAAGGAAGCCGGAGTGCCTGGAGAGAACCACCGGCAGCCGGGCAAACTGACAATCCTATAAAAATAAGAAGATGTGGTATAATTGCCAATGAAACAACTATCCACCCGAGACCAAATGACATAGAAGCTAACAGCTATTGGTCGTCTTACGGGTTCGAACTCACAACCTCAGTATTGACAATCCAGTGATACAGTAGATGAATTACTTAGACCACTCGGTCACCAAGGCCTCATACTCTAAATGTCTTTTTATTTTTATGTCATTAATTGCTGTCTCGCTGACGTGAGTCTTTAACTTTTTTGGTATTCATAGTAGTTGTAAATCCCTTTTGGTGTTCCAAACTCCCCGTGCCCAAAAGATTGTGACTCTATTTATTAAAGTACAAATTATGTTTGGCAATCTTATATATCAAGAATGCATGCGTTGTCGTGCTAAGTAGAACCCCACTCCTAATTTGGTGTCTGACACATCCAACTAGAGCTGTCCGCATACCTGGACTAATATCCCGCTCCCCATCCCCATCCCCCGTACATGTATTTGAGTTGCTGCTGTGAAATTCAGTATTGAGACAGTACCATTTTTAGGTTTTCAGCCATTCATTTAATTTATATAATCATTGCCTCTGTGTTAGGTTGACACATGATTACTGATAGGTTAATCTGACAGAATTATACTGACTCGGGGAGAAAGTTTGAGTTTTGTACACTGCAAATTCAGAAATTAAAGGTCTAAGTCAAGGTCAGTATGATGCTTCTGCGTACAACGTTTTGTCAATCTAAGTGATACACTACAAAAATAATGAACCAATTTCAAACACAAATCAGACTGATTTAATATCATGGGGGTCAAAAGTCAAAGTCAAATTTATAGTTACCGGACTTTGATATATGACACACCCCAATTCCAAATGCATCAGCATATCAAGTTTTTTCAACATACGTTTTACGGTACAAGTGGTATGCACAGACCACAAAGTTTTGTTTTCAAAGAAGACATAGGTCAAAGTTAAGGTCAGAGTTATCTAACTTTGGTATATGACACACCCAAGCCCATGATGAAACTGTCTTGCATACTAACAGGTTTGGATAACCTACGTTTTAAGGACTACAAACGTTATATATGAGCCAGACACAAATTGGAAAAAGATTTACTTTAAAAGAGGTCAAACGTGAAAGTCATGGTCAGAGTGACACACCCCAGTCCATGATGTATCTGCATACCAAGATTTATCAAACTAAGTTCAATGGTACAAAAGTTATGCGCATGACACGACACTGGACAGCCAACCAGCCAGCCAGCCAGCCAGCCAGACAGACATATACCCTTTCAAACATTGTTTGCAAGGAGTGAGTATAAAATCATACGTTACAGCTAATCACTGCGCATGCCAAACTTCTGACCAAATATGAGGTTATTCTGTTCATACCGGAGAAATGTGTTACAAAATATTTGTAAGACGAACGAACAGACTGACAAGGTGATTGCAATATACCCCACCCTTAGTGGTAGAATAACAGACTGACACGGTGATTGCAATATAGCCCCATCCTTAGTGGTGGTATAACAGACTGACACGGTGATTGCAATATAACCCCACTCTCTGTGGCGGTATAACAGACTGACACGGTGATTGCAATATAGCCCTACCCTAAGTGGTGGAATAACAGACTGACATGGTGATTGCAATATAGCCCCACCCTCTGTGGTGGTATAACAGACTTGACACCGTGATTGCAATATAGCCCCACCCTCTGTGTTGGTATAACAGACTTGACACGGTGATTGCAATATAGCCCCACCCTCTGTGTTGGTATAACAGACTGACACGGTGATTGCAATATAGCCCCACACTTAGTGGTGGTATAACAGACTGACACGGTGATTGCAATAAAGCCCCACCTCTGTGGTGGTATAACAGACTGACATGGTGATTGCAATATAGCCCCACCTCTGTGGTGGTATAACAGACTGACATTATGATTGCAATATAGCCCCACCTCTGTGGTGGTATAACAGACTGACACGGTGATTGCAATATAGCCCCACCCTTAGTGGTGGTATAATAGACTGACACGGTGATTGCAATATAGCCCCACACTTAGTGGTGGTATAACAGACTGACAAGGTGATTGCAATATAGCCCCACTCTTAGTGGTGGTATAACAGACTGACAAGGTGATTGCAATATAGCCCCACTCTTAGTGGTGGTATAACAGACTGACAAGGTGATTGCAATATAGCCCCACACTTAGTGGTGGTATAACAGACTGACACGGTGATTGCAATATAGCCCACCTCTGTGGTGGTATAACAGACTGACACGGTGATTGCAATATAGCCCCACCTCTGTGGTGGTATAACAGACTGACACGGTGATTGCAATATAGCCCTACCCTTAGTGGTGGAATAACAGACTGACATGGTGATTGCAATATAGCCCAACCCTTAGTTGTGGAATAACAGACTGGCACGGTGATTTCAATATAGTCCCACCCTTAGTTGTGGTATAACAGACTGGCAAGGTGATTGCAATATAGCCCCACTCTCTGTGGCGGTATAACAGACGTGACACGGTGATTGCAATATAGCCACACCCTAAGTAGTGGTATAACATTTATTTAATGCTATATTTGTAAAGGAAGGTCGCCTCGCACTTACATTTCTCATCGGAGTTTGATCAAATTTGCACGTCAAAAATTTTAATTTGAAAATTTTTGCAGAAGGATTAGTTTTACTAGAGTTATTACAAATCAGAATTAAGAAACTGAATAGGTCTAATAATACCCATGCTACATCAATCTTTAAAGACCCAAATGCAGCTAAGCACTTGTCCTACCTCCATGACAAATATGTTGTTGACCCCGCAGATAAAGCCCCAAACAACATCGTTTTTGTGTGTAAATCACATTACATAAACTGCTTGATAAATGAATTAGGTATTGACAATTCACTTAGAAACTCAGCATATACCCCCGCGACACTTACTAAAGAGGAAATCCTAGATAATCATAGGTCTTTTCTACACTTTACACAAGTATTCCCCATTCCAAACTAAAAGACAAATTGAAAGAGTTGGTCCTGCTTTGTTTCAAAAAAAAGTACGGCCAACGTTGATACAAGTATCTTGTCTTAGAGAGGGATAAATCCTACTTTGTAAAAAATCACTCTGATTCTAACAAAAAATTCTCTGAAACTGACTTTATCAACATACTTGATTTCTTGATTGACAACATATTTTTTACGTTTGGAGGACGTGTTTTTCAACAAACAACCGGCATTCCCATGGGAACCAACTGTGCCCCTCTTCTTGTTGACTTGTTCCTTTATTCATATGAGGCTGACTTCATACTGGAACTTCTTAGAAAGAAAGAAAAGAAGTTAGCAGTATCCTTCAACTTTACTTTCCGCTACATAGATGATGTTCTCTCACTAAATAATTCAAAATTTGGTGACTATGTTGAACGCATTTATCCCATCGAACTTGTATTGAGATAAAGGATACAACAGATACAGTTAAGTCTGCCTCATATCTTGACTTACATCAAGAAATTGACAATAAGGGTCGGTTGAAAACAAAACTTTATGACAAAAGAAATGATTTCAGCTTCCCAATTGTGAACTTTCCATTTTTATGTAGCAACATTCCAGCAGAGCCTGCATACGGTGTATATATCTCCCAGTTGAAATGATACTCCAGGGCTTGTATTTCCTATCATGATTTCCTTTAGAGGGTTGCTGCTCACAAGGAAGCTATTAAACCAAGAGTTCCAAGTGGTGAAGTTGAAATCTTCCCTTCGTAAATTTTACGGACGCCATAACGAGTTGGTTGACCGTTACGGAATATCCGTTTCACAGATGATAGCTGATTTGTTCCTAATGTCGTCCCGTCCCCTTTTCCCGAATGTGACCTACCGAATTAGACTTATTACCGGGTGCTACATGTGGAGCAGGATCTGCTCACCCTTCCGAAGCACCTGAGAT